CAGCCTGACCAACGTGGAAAAACTCTGTCTCTACTAAAAATACAAAATTAGCTGGGCATGGTGGCACATGCCTATAATCCCAGCTACTTGGGAGGCTGAAGCAGGAGAATCACTTGAACCTCCGAGGCAGAGGTTGCAGTGAGCCAAGATCACGCCATTGCACGCCACCATGGGCAACAAGAGTGAAACTCCATCTCAAAAAAAAAAAAAAAAATTATACGTTGTATTAGTCAAAGCTAACTAAAAAGCATAATATAATTTTAAGAAATGTATACATGTTATAAAATCAGTGTTTAAAATTTACATAAGCTGTAATTTATATAAAGTCTGAGTTGTATCTAAAAGCTCCAAATAAAGAAGGCAGTTTATCAAAAATATAGTTTGTAGAAAATTGTTACTTGTTGAAAAGAGACCAGATTCTTCTCAAGACAGTAGAAAACTACTACTTTTTCATATGGTCGAGAGAAATAAGTGTTAATGGGCTTCAGATTCATCGCTGCATTTATTTTTTCAGAAGAAATCATTAGATGTAAAGGAATTAGAAGAAATAGCAAGTATGACTGTTAATTAAAGTTTAAATCTGGTAACTTCCTAGGCATTTTACTGCTATATGGTATATTGTATAACCTATTTTCTTACTGATGAGTTGAAACTGAATTTGCAAACCCAAGTGTATTGTGAGAATATCATAACTTCTTAAAGGTTAACAAATGTCAGGTGTAATGTTATAAATTAACTTGCATTTATTGACCCACCATAGACCAGGACTAAAACTGAAATTTCTATTACCTTTTTTTTTTTTTTTTTCCAGACAGAGTCTTGCTCTGGAAATCCCACTACAAATTGCCTGGGAAGAGCAGTAGCACCACTGGATGGGGCTAAGTACTGTAAGTAATTTCCATTTCACAGTCCAGAATTTGTTTTTAAATGTATAGAGAAAACCATAGAGGCACAGAATATAGAACTGAAAAGAAACAGATTTGCTAGTTCAAAATTCCTATTCTACTGACTGAATTATTTGTCCAAAGTCCCTCATTTGGTATAATACACATATGTGCCTGGGCGACAGAGTGAGTGAGACTCTGCCTCAAAAAAAAAAAAAAAAAGAAAAAAAAGAAAAAGAAAAAAATTTTAATTTAGATGCTTTTAAAAAAACACACATAAGCTCATTATGTCCAAATCTTATAGATTATATTTTTAAAAAATCTTTAAAAACAATAAAACGACTGCAAAAAATCTAGGGCAAAATTAGGATCTTTCATAAGTCATGAACCAGTGTTCAACCAAATAGTATATAAAGAAAGTGGTTATAAAGTATGCCACGGGCAAAATAATTGAAAGACAACAAAATATTAATAAACAAAAAATGTTAACTAAATTCTCCACATTCAGAGATCAAAGTACTAGATTTCAAATATCCTTAAATTCAGTAGTCCAATAATCTTATAATTATTTTCTTTTCTAAAAATTCCTTGCATTCTATTATTAAATTTTAAATGCTTTTTGTAAAACAAAATTTTTAAAAGTAAAAATACCATTTTCAACCTTAAAATTGGGCTGGTCATGGTGGCTCATGCCTGTAATCCCAGCACTTTGGGAGGAAGAGGCAGGTGGATCACCTGAGGTTGGGAGTTAGAGACCAGCCTGACCAACATGGAGAAGCCCCATCTCTACTAAAAATACAAAATTATCAGGGCATGGTGGTGCATTTCTGTAATCCCAGCTATTTGGAAGCCTGAGGCAGGAGAATCGCTTGAACCCAGGAGGTGGAGGTTGAAGTGAGCCGAGATCGAGCCATTGTACACCAGCCTGGGCAACAGAAGCAAAACTCCATCTCAAAGGGAAAAAAAAATTGGCCAGACTCACTTCTGTAATCCCAGTACTTTGGGAGGCCGAGGTAGAAGGATTCCTTGAGCCCAGGCGTTTTAGACCAGCCTAGAAAACGAAGTGAGATTCCATCTCTACAAAAAATAAAAATAATTAGCCAGGTGTGATAGCATGTGCCTGTAGTCCTAGCTACTCAGAAGGCTGATTGGGGAGGACTACTTGAGCTCAGGAGTCTGAGTCTGTAGTAAGCTATGATCATACCACTGCACTCCAGCCTGGGCAACAGTGAGAACTTCTCTTCAAAAAAA